AAAGGGAACACAACCAAGTACACATTTATGGTGCGTTACTTGTGTCAAGCAGCTGGCGACTAGCGAAAAGATTAAGAACAACTGGCAGAAAACTTAGCGCGGAAACGGATCCAACGGGTTCAAAATGTCGCGAGGCAGTACATAGGCACAATATTTGCAGGAGGCAAACTCAGTCGAGAGAGTTGAATTGCAATATTCGAACGGACAAGGCCCGAACGAGAATTAAGGCATTGTGAATATATGTTCCTGCAAATAATTTGTAAATAGATCTCGTTAGAATTGTAAATAAAAACTATACTATCCTAAAAAGCACAATTCAGCGATATGAACCTAATTTCAAAAGGAGTTGAACAGTAACGCGAAATGCCGAAAGGCGGTTGGTTTACTTCACCTTGTCATGATTAGCATTACTACCTAGAGAGTCAACATTTCGACCATGACGACGACCTAGATTTTTTAACTTAACTATAATCATCCTTTTGATATATTTTCGGCTGAAAATTTCAATTCCTTAAAGTTCCTATTTATTGGTTGCGTGGTTGTGAGGAGATATCAATTTTATTCTAATATTTTACATTTTCTGGATAAGGCGTTTTCTAAATGTGACAGCTGCCCTGACACACTTATCATTCGTCAAGAATGTCTAGCTTTTTAGCTATCAGTCGTTCTTTCCTCTTTGCATTCGAATGCTGCTTGATGGATCTTTAAAGGCTTTATTCTGAATGTCGAACGCTTTGGAAAGTGAGCAGCAGACTTTGCTTAAAACTTTCATTTCTATATAGTTTTTGGTCTTTCTTTACAATGGTCTATGCGTTTGCAAATACTTTTCTAGCTCGTTATCTATTAAAAATGATTTTCCTTTTTTTTTTATATTATTATTATTATTATTATATAATGTTGATGCTTAATTGGTTACATGTAAAGAAAAGCAAATTTCTTTTCCTTTCATTATAATAATGAAAAAAGTTGAGATAATAATGATGAAGGTAACATATGATAAGAATGTGAGGTATTATTTGCATATTTTCAACAATAACGTATATCGTTACCTATAAAAACTGAAAGGAGAATCGAGAAAAAAAACTTTTCTGGAGAATGGCATAAGGGCACGAATTATTTTCAGGGGAAAAATTGCTGCCGTGTTCTGATGGTAAATATTTACAAACAAAACTTTTGAATATACGTATCATAGATGAAAAGTTGATTAACAAGATTTCGTAATAAGCTTTAAGTTATGTCGTGCAGTTTGCCTACATTGCGTTGAAGAAAACTTATTCAAACGTAATCCGACCATATCTCAAGGTATAGGATTTTTCCATACTTCGTCGAAAAAGCAAACATTTTTCATTTTTGTCCGAAAATATGGTATACAATTTCTTTTTCTTTGCTTTTTGCATAGAAATGTGATGGACGTTTATAACATTTATTTTCTGAAACACCAATCACACATCCCCACACGAATCGGCGTATAATTATTCTTTTAATTTAATTTAATCATTTTTTTAAACGAAAGTTGAGTATATTCGATATTACGCAGAGTAAAATTGTGATGCTATAAAGCTAGATAATAACGACAAAAAATCGTGAGATGGATGTTCATTTTATATACAAAAAATGTAGCACTTTTTGTGGTTGGTTGTTGACAAATAAAATTTATGTCAATGTAATAAAAACTATACCGAATAAATTTGAATTTATATCAAAATTTAAATTAAAACAAGAATATTGTAATCGGGCAAGACCGATCTGTAAATACCCTATGCTACGTTTTCTAACACAATTCTTGTTTTTATTCTAGAACACAAAAAATTCTTGTTTCTATATAAAGGCAAATTTTTCAAGTGCGTATTTGTGGGGAAGCGGGCCCAAAACGCAACCTAATGTAGTACAAGTTTAATCCTTACATAGGGTAGGACTCAAAAGGACTCAAAGGTGTAAATGATCCAAAAGTTGTACAGTTCATTTTGGTATGAAAAAATTTGGAAGTGAAATGGACGTGACCTATTTTGGAATGTCGTGGATATGACTACGTTTCTTAGCACCCAACTAATCTATATTCCTATTACTAACGACTCCCAAGACAAGAGTTGTATGAATTCTGATATTGTCTTGCTAGGGTTTGTAAGTAACGAACAAAAGGTGCAATTTTTTTTTTCCTCGTAACTTGCACTGTATTGCAGGCAGGCAGGTGCATCGAACGATTTATCTGAAACGTATTTTTAAATCTTTACATAACCATTTTCAAGAGAGAAAAGTAAATATCAAAAAAGATTGGTACGCAGATTTGCAATACGAAGGCAAGATATTGTTCTTATCTTCATGCCGAATATTGTGGACATAAACAGTTAAAAGGTTAAAGCAAGCACACTTGTGCTATTATTTCTTTAAAATTTGAGGTAAATCATACTTGAAAAGATTACAATCTAACGCGAGCTTCCTGGCCGATCAACTGACAAAAGGGAAAAGTGTACCGAAAAAAAAAGAAGAAAAACTTGATGATGACAACCGGCGATTGTCACCAATGAAACGCAAAATATGATAATAACACAAAAGTCATCTTAAATGCCGTAATTTAATAAATTACATTAATAATAAAAATAAATAAATACAAGAAAAAAAAAAACTTAAAAAAATTTTCTTTTTAAAACAAAAACTATATAAATAAAATAAAATAAATACCTTAATGCCAATATGTATATAATTAAAAAAAAAAAAAATATATATATATATATATGTATGATGAACATTAACATTATATGTATGTAATTATGTATAAGAATTTTTCTAAGAAAAAAAAAAAATTATTATATATATATATTATATATATATATTATTATTATATATATATATAAAAAAAAAAATTATTATTATACATATATTTTTTTTTTTATTTTTTTTTTAACATATAAATGCTGAGAATTTCTTATCGTTTAGTGAAAAAGAATTTGAATTTAATGAAGAAATCATGGCGCATACAATTTAGAAGAAATATATAGATTTTAAATTCTTTCACATATTTAAGTAACGATATGCAATTGCTCGCTCACCTCCATTTTTGTATTTTTGTAAAAAACAGGCGAATAGTTTTGAAAGTTTCTCTTGTCTTGTTCGCTTATTATATTTATATATGTTATTTTGTTATTTATTCCTTTCACGAGGAGCCAAAGCTATGCTAATAAATTTTTCAATCTGTTTTTGTGGCCTTCAATATAAAACATTAAAATTCATCATAAATTATTTATATATGTATATATATATATTTATATATATATTTGATCACTCATCACATATTCCTCGTGCTCTTATTCTTCATTTATTATTAGTCTGTTGTTGAAAAATTTCCAAACTTATTAACTAACTAAAGCAGATAGGATACGTTAGGTCTTGCTCTACATTCACTAATACGCATCAAGGATCCTACAAGATATATATATATATATATATTACCTTGAGATTCAACCCAAATTTTGCAAAATTTATATTCATCTATCTATCGATCTATCAGTCCGTCTATTTACTGACGCGTACGTTAAACCCCGATATACAATGACATAGATAAGAGTCGATAATGAATGCGAGGTGTGTTCAAAGAAAAAGGTGACTTTTCAAATATCCTCGGCTATGCATATTTGATTTTCTCGTTTTCCTTTTCTTTTTTTTTTTTTTGTTATCCTGGTACGCATGTTCCCAACCTATGTTTGTTTAGTCTTTCTTGACAGGTTTTCTTGGCGTGGATGAAAGAAGACTCTGTATTAAATCTTGTTGTGAAAAATGAAATGAAGTGCTCCAACTCAATTACCATCTTGACTGTGGCATTTCACGAATCTACGACGGGACGTCAACAACCAACGAAAACGTTGAAGCGGTGAAGAAAATTCTTATGAAGAATAGTCAGTCAGAATTACTGTTAGAGAAGTTACTGAGGATGTCGGCATATTGCTTGGCTCATGCCATGCAATTTTTGCGGTTATTTTGGGCACGAAACTTTATGGATATGGCACCACGATAATGCGCCACCTGACACGCCATCGTTTGTCTGTAATTTTTTTCAGCGTCATTATGTTTCAGTCCGGTATTCATTAGATTTGACCCTTTTCGACTTTTTCCTTTTCCCAAAGTTGCAAAGACCCGTGAAAGGGCGGAGTTTTGACACGATTAAGAAGATAAAGACCGCATCGCTGGAAGAGCTCAGGGCTATACCAAAAATCGTATATGAAGAGTGCGTCGAGAATCGGAAAAAGCGCTGACACAAGTGTATTATATCTAAGAGGGATTACTTTGAAGAGGACAAAATATGCAGTCATATAGAGTCACCTTTTTTTTGAAAACATCTCGTATAATGTAATTACAAAAAAAAAAAAAAAGAAGGAGGTGAAATTTGGAAACATTGTTGTCAGTAATGAATAACTGCATGTACAGATATAAGTTCAAATTTTAGTAAAAATTTTTAAGAGGTCGAAATATTAAGAATACTTTATAATTTTTTTGTATTATGGCTGAAGGTGGGCCGGTAACGCACGATTCGCCCTAAGACGAAAATAGTTTCTTTTTTCTGTTTTTTTTTTTTTTTTTTTTTTTTTAAATTTTTAAAAAATTTTTAATAATTAAATTATGTTAATTAACTAATATTTTTGTGCTTCTTGTTCAATTTCTTTATTATTATTATTATTATTATTAATATTTTTTTAATGTGCTGTGTAAAGCTTTTAAATGCTTGCAAAAAAGAAAAAAAAAGAATATATATTTATATATATGAAAAACATATATATATATATATATATAAGATAGTTTTTGAGAAGCATATATGTATAGTAATTGTTGTAGTTGTTGTTATTATTATTATTATTATTATTACTTTTTGTGTTTCTTACATTAAAAGCAAAATATACGATATACGTAATTGAATTATTTACCATAATGGAAGAAGTTTCTTTTCCTTTTTTGTTTTTTTTTTTTTCATTTCGTTCATTCATTCATATCTGTGTTCTATGAAAAAAACTTAATACTCGCTTTTATTAAATTTACTTAGTGTTTGTTGTTGTTTACTTTTGTAATAATATAAGAAAATTAAGCCCAATTATTTTGTGTATCACAACGCTTTGTAACTGTTGCATATATATATATATATATTTTTTAAAGTTCCTTCTGGTTAGCTTCAACTTGAGAATTTTAATTTAAATTTAACTAAAAATGCCGACCAGCGAGCCTGTAATTATGTTTGCATATTGGCACGATCTTTGGCACGTCGTTTGGCTAACATGGATAATTCTACGGGTCCTACATTGGCTGCCTGCGGTATAGCGATAGCTCGGAAAGTCGCATCAACCGCACCGCGTAGAGCCGCATTAGCTTCTCGCGCTGCATTGGCATTTTGCGTAAATTGACCGGCAACGTTTATCTTTCCAGCCGCACTACTTGAATAGGTTATCGTAGTGTTCCTATTAGGATTTACCGTATATTCGGTAAGTTTTACCGAACCGGCTAGTTGCTCTTTAAGCCAATGATGTTGTAGAATTTGTGCAGCGGTTGGCCGGTTCTCGGGTATAATATGTAGCATTTGTTGTAATAAATCCTTAACTGAATTGCTAATTAAAGACCATCGAGACGAAGAGAAATCTATTTGACCCGAACCAATACGTTTTAATATAACATCGGGTGAATCGTTTGGCGTAGAGGCAAATGGTGTACGTCCCGATAACATTATATACAATAAAACTCCCAAAGACCATATATCACAAGCTAAATCATAACCCTGACGTTTCAGGACCTCGGGAGCCACAAAATTCGCGGTGTAACACGGTGTCATTAGCAGACCATTATCGGCACGCAATTGTTTAGCGAAGCCTAAGAGGAAGGTTAAACAATTTAAAATAAATAATTCCATTAATTTTAATAGGAAGTCGAGCGATTGTACCAGGGATGACCAAGAGCTTACATGCGAAGCAGTCCCTCATCTGTAATTACTTTCTGATGCAATAGGAAACGCTTCCAATAACGTTACAAGCTTAAAAAATGTACTTTATGACTTATTAAACAAACTGTGAATTAGTCTTGGTATTAGTAACACTATCGGTCACTAAATTGACTTCTTGCATAGAAAGGGGGCAAGGGGAGCGATTCACAAGCCACTTGCGAAGTTTTTTTTAAATCATTTGCTAGTGAAACGATCTCTTTTCGAGCTTCAAGTCGAACGTAATCGCCATTAATGATTAAGAAGCACATAGCTAAATAAGGCAAAAATCGATTTTTTTTTTTATATGACTAGCCACTCAGGGTACAGCGGTTTGTATGTAGTAAGTAGAATAAAAAGAGGGAGTAGTGTCTAATGTCTACACACAATTTAAAAGTGGAAATATCAGACGCGGGCAGTGCGATTGAAGAATGAAAAATACCGGTAGTGTAAGTCATTCCGGGACGGGTGAATGGGAATGCTGACAAAGGCTTGTGGTACTGGTATAGGACTTAATTGATGGATATATCTCCTTTATTCCTATAGAACACTTGCCGTGAATGTATCTGTAGATAAACATCACAGGGCCCACATTACAGGGCATACAGTTTTCCACACAATTTCGCCACCCATGAGCACCTGAGCCTTTCGCAATGTACGGTCGAGTGCCTATATATTATATTATTGTTGTCCAAATTGAATTCGGGGCGATTTATCAATGGTTTATGGTTTAAGGCATTACAATAAAAGAGATTTCGTAAAAACACTAAGCCCTTAATTGTCTCACTTTCAAATGCGATCCATTTTTGAATAAAAGCGAAAATAATGTTTATTACGTAGAGAACAGAACAATACGCTTTCCATTTTGAAAAAATTAAAACGAATCCGTTTTCTTCGGGTTCGACATATGGGCTGGTATTAATGCTTGCATAATTGGTTTGACTTCCTATAGTTCTTCTCGTGTAAAGTTTACGTACTCCCCTTTTCACTGTGATGGCGAATCATCATCTTTAGGACGAATTTGGCTATCCCTGGTATACACGATCGATCGAGGTGCTATTGTTATTCGAAATTACTTATCGATTATACATAGATTCGAAGAATTCTGTCTTTTATGGCTTCTTTTGTCTTTCTTAAATACGTTTTCATTTCGTCCTTATTTATTCCCCTAGAATATTATTCTAAATTTAGAAATATAATTGTGTGTGTAGGTGTCAAAATTTCCTCTTTGCTATGCTTCCAGCAACATGCGGTTGTTTTCATTATTTTGTATATGCAATGAACCTTTCTCCGTATTGCGCATTCAATTTGATTTGTCTATACAACAAAGGATATAGTCCTCCACACATTGATATATTCATTACCGGCAACGTAAAGAGAGTTCTAATTTTCTCCTGCTGTTTGTATTAATTAAAAATGCGAATCATACAAAAATACGGATAAATACAAAAATGTTTTATCAGTCAGTTGCGGTGATTCTAAATCAATTTTGCGGCTTTTGGTCTGTTCATACGTACGTTTGCGGACAACCATTAATAAAAAGGAAACTTTTTTCATTACATTAAGGCTCCGCAAACTCTTCTTTCACTTTTGCAACTATCTTGATAAACATAAATTTTGTTATTTCACGGTCATAATGCGCTCTGAGTAACTGGTAAGTGGCTTTAATTGTCAAAATGTTTTATCAAGAGTTCTGATTGATCATTGTTGTATACGATGCAGTTCCAGATTCTATCACGCGCAAGCTAGCCCAAGGTGTTTTATAGCATTGAGGACAATTAACCCAAACCTCTATCCGTTTGATGATTCGGAGTTTGGATGTATGTCAATACTACTTGTTAATGGCATCGTATTGGTATTCATGCAAGCGTCCATCCCTCCCAGGAGACCAATTATGGCGTTGTGCTTATTTATAATAGAAAAAAATATTACGGCCTATTCATTAAAAGTGGTAAAGCTTTTCGTCGCATACTTTATACTTTCCTTAGTATTTTACGGTCTGAGGGAGTAGTCATAGGTCAATGGTTTCATTAAAATTAATAGCGAAATAAACTATTCTATCGCTAACATAATGATTGTCGACTTATTTGCGATGGGCATCCGAAATTCGGCTTAACACGTGCGTATTTTTATATGTTGTTTTGTTTGCCTTATTACTATACTTTTTTTTTTTTTTTCTACACTGAATAAATTTACTTGAATTCGAAATGACGTATTTTATGGATAATGTTGATGATGGGTCATTTTGTCAACTGCGTAAAAGTCTTAATTATTTTATTTAACTGCTTTGCAAAAAAAAAAAAAAAAAAAATTGTTCGCTTTGCTTTTCCTACACAGCTAAAACATAATATAATAAAATTTTATCTAAATATTGCATTGCATCCCTCACGTTGCTTCTTATTTAAATAAAGCCCTTGTTGTCCTACTATTCCTAATCTGCTTGAATTTTGCAATGTCATTTATCTTATCAGGTTCAGTCAAAATGAAATGAGTTTTTCGAGATAATTTCTAAACTCACCTAAATCACATAATTTTAAAGTTTCCGGTGTTTGCCGCATACTGGCATAAATCATATTTGATGGCTTTAAATCCCTATGCACTACTCCGTGTTCATGCAAATAGGCTACCGCCGAAACCATTGTTCTTAAAACAGCGCTCGCTTCACTTTCACACATCTGACCAACAGCCAGAATACGGTCTAAGAGTTCACCTCCCTTAAGCAGTTCCATTACCAAATAAGCAGACACAGCATCCTCATATACTGAGAATAAGGTAACAATATTTGGATGATTGCCGTAGCGTAACATAATTTCAACTTCTTCCCAACAATCCACTGATGACGAATTAGCTAAAACTGCAGCTTTCTCGATAATTTTAACAGCAAAATGTTTCTTAGAGGATTTATGTTCACATAGACGGCATACGGAAAACGTGCCACGTCCTAGTTCTTGTAGTAGATTATAATCGTTATGAAAATTTCCAGGTAATACTCCGGGTAGAGTGCGCGGTGGATTGGCCATCGGTATGAAAGGTGATTGGGGACTTGAATTCGCAGATTTTGGCAGGGCATGATCTAATAGAACAGGTGCTACAAAGCTGAAACCACGAAATATTTCATGAGCCGACGCTGATATAGGACCACCTGGGGAATCACGTGGTGACTTCGATGTGTACTCGACATCAAAATAAAAAGCATCGTCCCTTGAAACGGCCGGTATAAACGGAGGTCGCACATCTTTTTTTTTCCAAACGCGTCCAATCAATAGTCGCAAAAAAGCAATGGGCCTTAATATCCAAAATACCATTCGGACCAGCACCCAAACGATTTTGGGGGTTACGTTTAAATAAAGCTCGTAATAATGACTGTGCCTCTGGCGAAAGATTTTCTGGCATACCCAATTTGGAGCGTAAAATTTGATTCATTGTTTCCTGACGCGATTGACCATGAAATGGTAAATTTCCAGTAAGCATTTCATACATCAATACGCCGAAAGACCACCAATCCGCAGCGAAATCATGTCCTTTACGATTCACTATTTCCGGTGCCATGTATTCTACAGTGCCACAAAAGCTATACGTTTTCGAACCATCTAAAGGTTGCTTCGACAAACCGAAATCGGTAAGAGCAATATGACCATTTTCATCTAAAAGAATATTTTCCGGCTTCAAATCCCTATAGATAATACCAAGCGAATGCAAGTGATTCAGAGCTAATGCCAATTCAGCTAAATAAAATTTTACGTCTTCTTCGGTGAACATGACTTCTTTCGATAGACGAGTGAAAAGGTCACCACCTCTCAAAAAATCTAATATCAGATACAATTTGCCAGGCGTTTGAAAGGCATAATGCAATTTTACTATGAATGCATGGCCGACATCAGCTAAGATTTTTCTTTCGTTAGTACTTCTGACGCGATCCTTAACCTTTAATGTAGCTTTTTTTAGTACTTTCATGGCGTATAGGGCACCGGCGTCTTTACCAACAACCTTACGAACTAAAAATACTTTGCCGAAACTTCCTTCGCCTAATACACGCAATAGTTCAAATTGAGAGGGATCTGCCTTGTCATGACCTTCTTTGATCACTTCTTTCAGCTCGATTTCGTTTTCACGTAAATCATTATCACTACTTGCGGAGATATTGGCATAACATTCCGAATCACTAAGATCCATTAATTCAGTGGAGCGATGACCTTCAAGCTGTTTTTGCTGCTTCCCCAGCGCTGCCTGCAGCGCTGATGGCTGCAGTTGTGCGTTGTGATGTTGATTTTTTTGTTGTCGTTGTAATTGTCGACGTTGACATGACGTCACCATCGTTATACCAGTACTTTCTTCATCTGTAGGGGTATGCTCCATGGGTGTAACAGCCAAGCTGCTACAACCGGAGGAAGTGATTTGCATGCGTGAAAGTCCCACATGATCATTTATATTATTCTGCGCGGACGAGGTTACACCCAATTGTTGCTGTTGCCTCAGATCTTTATGAAGATCTGCCAACGGCATGGTCTTTGCTGTATTAGCCTGTGAAGCAAGCGTCTTGGCTTTTTTCCTTTTTTACAATCGAAAAAAGCTGCACCAATAGCAAGTGTTTTCTAAATTTTTGCTTTGTTTTCCGTTGTCCAATACCCGGACACTTAGCTACGCCAAATGCAAATGCTAGGCCAAACGCAAATGCTAGGCTAAAGGCGTAGGCGCTGTTCTTGGCCTTCGATGTTTTAGTATATTTTACTGGTTTTTATTCTAACACCATAAAAAAAAAGGCCAGCACAAACATTCTTGATTACATTTGTACACATAACAATATTTTTTTAAGTCTCTCTTTTCAAAAACTTTTTAACACAAGGTTCATTTGCTTTATAAAATAAACACGCATAAATTTCTTAACTTTTCACCTTTATTTGTCAATTAACTAAATATGACTGCGTAATTTAGTGTTGCCATATCAAATTTTCAATTTGTTTTTAAATAATGGTTACCATGTTCGTTGAAATTAATCAGCAAAAATTTACTCTTCTCACTTTGCTTAAAATGAAACATGTTTAAGGAACATGTTCTAATACGAATCTCCAAGTTGAAGAAACATCTCGCATATATCGCATATATTACAAAATTTTCTTCTAAGACCATATACCATAAGGTAAGCGCGTCATATATTTTAAATAAATTTATGTTGCTTTTTGGTTCGAGCTTCCAAGCGTTAAAATTTAGCAATAAAATGCAACAGCAACAAATTTTAAGAGTCACACATACAAACAAATGACACGTTTTACGAAATTTTATATCACTTTACTTTAACGCTATGCATTGTTAGATATAATATATATTAAATATGTTGCGATAGAGTTTTCAATACATACGCGTGCCATTAACTACATACTTTGTAAATTTATTTATAAAATATATAGACAATAAATAAATAAATAAATAAATAAATAAATAAATAATAATATATAATATGTTAAGTTAAAAAAAATATAGATGTCATACAGCTGCGGTTGCTGCTGTAATGTATGCATACATTCTTATATATAAGAGATGGCGTAACGAAGTGACGATTTGAAATTTCAAATCATTGTTAATTTACCAGAAAAAAAACAAAAAAAAATTTATCAATTTCGACTTTGTTACTTTTCATTTTTCACTTTTCTTCTTTTGCACACACACAAGCCTAATGACCTAATGACCTCTGGCACTTGCTAACTGTCCTCTATAAATGTATATATAAAAGCAATACCGCTGTTAAAAGAAAACCTTTACATACACATTACTATATCATGTGGCTCATATTAGTTTTATACCCTACACCGTTTATGTGGTCACGCTATTAATTGCTCCTTAAAATATCAAAAATGCTTGCGTGTCGTATAAAGACTTTCTTTTCATAGGAACGAGAGTGGGCAAGTAGTAGTTAACGCGTAAACACGGAGATCTATGCAATGCCGTCCAATAAAAACGCCTCCACAACTGTGTTAAAAACGACTGATGACCCCCACAATCACGTGAAAAACGCCTTATAGCAGCTATTATGTTAAAAGCGATGCTTAGCCGTTGAAAGTATATGAAAATTGGCACAAAACTACTACATTCAACAAACATTCAATACAAACGCCGCCAAAAGTTAAAGACGACATGTGTTAAGAAATTTTTATTTTTTTTTTTGTAGAATTGTGTGGGTTATATAAAATTCTCGGGGAAGGTTGTAGCACCTAGAAAGCTTCGAGGTAAATCCACTTTTTGTATCGATCAATTTAGAAAATAATTCTGAACTTGCCTTGCCGTCTGTCCATTTTGTTTTGTTGTGTTCAATCTACAGGCCGTACTTTTTGATATATTTTGATAAAAACATCAACATGTTTTGGCCCAAAGGCGAACTCTATTAAAAATGGTTCGGATCGGACCACTCCAGCAGCTTGAACACAAAAATACATGGACAAACATCAGACGGACAGACGGACAGACAGACAGATAGGCTTTGATCAGAATAACAAAAGGTGCCCCTCTTGGTGTTACATATGTCCGTACAAACTTAATAGACCTCATACCGCAAGTGGTATACGGTATATATGTAGTAATTTTTAGAATTTCGCCTGTGAAGACTTTCGATCGGGTAGGGGCAATTTTTTGAGCCGCTTTCCATGCACCCGTACTTGTACTCATATACACGGATTACAAGGACTACAACTTAATCGCTTTCTTTCCTCTCCTTATAAAAAAGAGGAGTTAAACAATTTCATGGCCAGGATATCCTTTGATGCTCTTTGATGTTTGATTTGCATCGTTAAACACATATCGGTGATTACGTAAAACAATATTACCGATGTGACGGCAAACGAGGCTTTGCAACAGGGACAGGGAATAGGGACAAGCGATTCGTCCCTCTCAGGGTTGCATAAAAAACCTGACGTAATTTTAATATGAAATTGAGATACACACATGCCTTGAGGATCCAAAGTTTTTAAGAGAGCAACGTAAACATACGATTGCTATGGAAGATATTTAATTCCATTCGTTACAATGCAAAGCTCAATTATTTTCCCTGAACTTTAGATTTTTATTTCTATTTTACATAAGTATTTTGCACAAAATTAAGTTCTAGTCAAGAACATAAGTCATAATTGTTCTCAATTCAAATAAGGATAATATGAGAATACTTTACATTGGAGTATTAGCACGTTTTGACGTGGCCGAATATCGGACCATCGCGATCGGATCGCGATCATATCTAAAGACTTTACCATCCCATCTTGATCATCTAAAGCCACTAAAGCCTCCTTTCACTTTTCCATATAATTCAATATCATCGTAATAATATTTTCTAGAGATTCATTGGCCACTTGTGCCCTTTTCAATTGCAGTTCTTGAAGCTCCTATGTGTTATCGTACTTATCGGATTAATGTTCGAATCATGCCTCCAAACAAATGCAAGATAAGTGCAAAAATTGAAAAGGACCGTAACATGGACCGTCGAACAGCATGTCTATATTATATTCTGGGGTTAAAGTGGTCCGTAACATAGTTATATGTGCGAATTTGCGTATTTCTTCATGTGTACCTTCGCAAATATGGCTTTTATTTTGGCCTTGAAATGTTGTCAAATGACATCCAACTGACTACGATTAGATCGGCTTTCCCGGATTAGGTCAGTTTCCCGAATTATTAAATCGTTTTAAGATTAGCATATTACGGCTATTTTATGCAGATCTTTATATTATATATGTATATATATATATATATATATATTTACATTATTTTAAAGTATATTGAGTTTAAATCAAATAAAAAGTGGTTAGCGATAGAGAAACATATAAAAGAAAAATCGCGAACGATTACTTACCGTGAACATATCTGTAAAGCGCATCGATAAACTGAAATTACGCTGACAACGAAATGCAAAAACAAGGCGAAGATTAAACCGGATGCAGCTGATATTTCGCTGTTGGCATTTAAAAGATCAACCTGTGGCAAGAAATGTAAATCATTTGAGATAAATAAGTATATGTACATATATATATATATATATATATATTGATATTATTTATTTACCCTTTCCTTTGAACGATTTATATCGCGGCATAGACCGATACCCGATATGGCTAAGGCCAACGTACTTGAGGCTATGCATACCAAACTCAAAGCTAAGAAAGATGTTTGCGTTTTTCTTAGGCCGACTACACCCAGAGAGCCTGTCACGGCTGCTATAAGGCCTGTCCATATTCCACAGCCAGCTGTAGATAGAGATGCCTCGCGGACAATTAATAGCGAGCCCAAGGCTACCAAAGAAATCGCCAAAACCAATTGCAATAGGCCTAAAATTATTTGCACTGGAAATGCTGAGCAGCAGGCTGTGCTACTTTGCGGCGTATATGATTTCTTTTTCAACGATTTAGAAGATTTTATTGAACTACCATCATCCTTAATCAGCTCGGGTGGAAATCTTTGCTTTTTACTTATTCTAGAGTCTAAAGTAGCCGCCCTCGAAGCCATTGTCTCTTCCAATTGTTTTTTGAATTCTTCGTGCGATATTAATTTCGGTTTTTTTAAGTCGTCATCTATTGGTTTCGACATAACTACCAATGTGGCTGCCGTTAACTTTAAAGGCAATTGCGGTTTCTCATCATACACTGGGCTCGAGTAAATGTGACTCTGGGCATCTAAAGGTTTTTGTTGATTACGATTCTCTTGCTGTTGCATTGCCTGATTTGTTTGCTGTTCTAGTTGTTGTTGTTGCTGTTGTTGTTGTCTCGTCTGATGCTGATGCTGCTGTTGCTGTTGCTGTTGCTGTTGTAATTCATCATCACTTCCGCTGGAATTTTGTTGTTGCAACATTGCAATTTCAGAATTGGTTAAACTATTGTGATGTTGTTGTAAATTTGTGGTATTCGTACTCTGTTCAATTGCGGTATGCATCATTTCCTCTTGACTATGATGCTGATGTTGATAATGCGATTGTTGATGATGATGGTGAGCAGTGCGATCGACAATAGTATCCATACTTCCGGTTGTCGAATCATGTGAATCGATTGTACGTGCTGGTGATTCTGAATGTCGGCCATTATTGTTTTCGACATCATTACTTATACTAATGTTCGTTGTATGTGCAACACCATTAATACTGTTGCTGATATTGTTGTTCGTATCGATCATTTTGTCATGAATGTAATTTCAATTAATTGATTTATTGTCAATATTTTGCTTTGTAAAACTTTGGTGGTCTATTTAATTAAACACTGATTTATATATCGACAATAAAAGAATATGTTGTATCTGAAATAAAGGAGAGCAAAAAAGAGATATAAAAAATGCAAAATTATATAGTGTGCCACGGCCCATCATTGTCTACGCTACAGCATTTTACAATGAGTTATATAACAACTTTTGAAAATAATGCGTTTTATAAGAAGCGATCTAACAAGTGATCCGATTCGAACTATTTTCAATCAGTATTCGTTCTTGATGCATAAGAGAACAAAGTTGACAGACGGACAGACGGACAGACAGTCTAGAGCAACTCAGAAAGTGATTTCTTGGTCTAAAATATGCCAAAAAAAAAAAAAAAAAAAACAAGACAGGCAGAGAGGCCGTCGGACAGACAAGTCTAAATCAATTCGGAACGCTTTGGATTCTGAATTGTTCGGTGTAATAAAAGATGGGTGCTTGCATATATTTGCACAAACTTAATATACCTTTGCATCACGAGTGGTGTAGGGTGTAGTAACAAGAATGACTTAAATTAAACACTTGAGCAAATAAATTTCAAATTCTCAGTAGGAGTTTTTCGTAGTGAATGCCAAGAATTATAGTCAATGGAAGGTTACATAGCCATGTTGTTATTTGAATGGTTTCTAAGCGTTTATATATAAATTATTAAAGACATCTACAACGCGACGCTGTTGTTGTTTCTGTTACTTTTCCAACGTAATAAATAATAAACATAGCAGGCAAGTGTACAAGTAATATAACAAGTGATTTTTTTTTTTTTTTAATTTTTTTATTTTGATAACGAACCAGTTCACGACAAACAACAACAACAAAAAAAAAAAAAAAAAAAAAAAAAAAAAATGTAATAATAATCAAAGCAATTAAAGTAAATCTGGTATAATTTATGGGATGCCCATTGGCTTACTTTGTATTTAACTGCCGTTACGGTTAATAATGTTTGAAATATTTTTACAGGTTTTCAAATCTACTTAATTACTTAAGCGAATATGTTCACCTTGCTGCTGCATTTGTAACACCCCTAAGTAAGTAAGTAAATGTTTTTAACAGATATGAGATATTATACGAACGAAGAAACATTCCCCCATCCCACTTTGCCAGTGTAGCGTGGTAGCGATCTTAATTGGTATGGTTTTGGTCTCGCTCGTTCGAAAATAAACTTTATCAAGCGACAACGGCTGTATGAATTGTGCATTGTGAAGTGTTCTTTTTTGTGTCTATTTCCACACAAGACGACGGGATATACGATAATTTGCTTATTATTGCAAGTTTTCTTTGATGTCGTTTAGGCCGCTTGCTTTCAAATAACCGCTATACTCCATCGCCAGTTAGAGTCAAGTTTTCAAAACCAATCAGCCAAGTGAAGGCGCGCGGGTTCAAAAGTCAGTGCGGTAAAGCATGTTTGATCGTAGCGATAGTGAGTGTTCAATAGCTAAAATCATTATACATATCGATTGACATATCTCCAGGTTCACTAAACTATGGCTATTCCGCATCTCTTTCTCTTTCCTCACGATCTTTCGTTTTGACCGTCGCCATATTATAATTGAAAGCGGTGCATCCCGAATGATTGGAAGCATTTGCATGCTTAAGTTTTTTGGGCAAAACACAGTCCAATCGGAATGTGGCACATCTCGTCGCATTACCTTGCCTTGCTGACACCCGAAATATTAGTGAACTTGCACGCTGATTTTCTCACCTCTTCAATTCAACTCGTCATAGATGTGAGCGCACAATTATCATAACCATAAGCGAATTTAGTTAAAAAATTTGTATAAATTCGAAATGCGAGTCGATTTACGTGATTATATAGCAAATTTAGGATCCTGGAATATGTTTTACTTTGTAAGCGACCAAAAGTGAATTATTCGTCACTTTGTCCATCTGCCTATTAATTACGCCATTTTATATTTTTGTGTTCTTTCCGTTCGTTTATTTTGAACTTTTATTAGCTTGGATCCTTTATTATCTGCTTTGCGGTCTCATCTATCTATTTGTTTCGTCGATCACTTAGTTCCGCCAGTACGCTCTGGCCAATTCTTTCGATTTATTCGTGCCTTCAATTCAATTGTCAGTCATTTGTTCCCCTATGCAGGTTGGTTGTTCTTCCGTTTCGTTCTTCCTTCGATGTTCACACCTTTGCTAATTGCATTCCTTTCCCGATTCCGCCCGTCGGATGTAATAGTTCTTTCATCGGACCTTCTTTTTTGAAAAGCCAGCAATGAAATGATAAAGAAGCAAGAAAGTCTTTGCCATTCAACACTTTAGACGAAGAAGACCAAATCGCCTTAGAGTGAATGTTCGCGGCCCACGGTACTTATAGCCTCATACTATAATATTTTAATAATATTAAGTCAATTGATCCTTCAACTTGTGTCAAACGGGTTTCGGGTTTCCAAGTCAATATTTCCATAAATTGTAGACTATGGTAGTGTGTTTGCATCGCGGTACATTACATGCTTGAATATTTGCAGTAGATCGTAAGCACCCAACTTATATACAAATTGTTACGTGGCCATCAACTGGGAACTTGAATGCCAAATTTTACCTTTCTACCATAATTCTTATTATGAACGTTCCAACGATACAACGAATATGAAGTGGTCATATAGAGTCAGTGGTCTCAAAATGTCGCAACTTCTGAACTTTATTACAGTTGGCCATTTCATGACGACTTTCCCTTATATATATAGCGACTAACTAGGAATGACTGAGAAATTGTTTATTCATATTCACCAGCGTATTCAAAATATTTTATCCAGATCGTTCCTATTTATACTATAGTATGCGATAATATGCTAACAAATAGAATGGAACGACTTCCATATGTTCATCTAAGACAAACTTTTATTCTCTCAAGTTTTTATTGATTTTTAACGAGCAACCGTTTCCTTCTTTTGCATAGCTATTGTCACTATTGTCTCTTGTCTCTGTTTCGTCTTAAGAATGTGTGAAATAATTTATGAAACAAAAACCTTTCTAAGCACTTTGTGTACATTTCCATCCCATTTAACACTACCGACGTGTTATTGTGATTTTCGAAAAAACCTTAGCTATAGCAATGCTTTTAGTTGTTTGTTCAAAGTTTAAAGTAATTTCGATTTTGCATAAGATTACATGACACTTTTAAAAGCAGGTCACAAGATTTATCACATAATTGTGAGATAATATTTGGTACCAGCTATCCATACATTATGCTCTGTACACTCTTTGACTATATATAAATATATATATATATATAGCTCGAAGCAATTAATGAATGATCGAATGATATAAAGTTTATGCATAAAAATTCGAAATAATGCTTAAGTTGTTGCGAGTTCAAGAGATTCAACGGAAATTTCAATTCTAATTGCCTTAGAATGACATATAAAGGATAGGAGGTGAAAATGTTTTTCTTGTTTCATTAACAAAAGCGACTTTTTCGAATTTAATTTATTAAATGCCAAAGAGAGAGAGAGAGAGAGAAAGAAAAAGGCATATTTAAGCCAAAAAAAAAATGTGAGCGAACAACAAGTGGGAGTAATTTCTTGTTTGTTTATTTTTGACATTTAACTAAAATAGATTTGAAAGAAAAAAAAGAAAAAAAGTCAATAAAGCAAACAAACATCTGAAAAGGTTGCATTATTGAATTCAACTGAAATTCTTAGCAGGGAACTTACACAGTCGTCTAGAATAGCGGAAATGGCAGTGATTGGAAAAAATAACTAAATAAAGTTCAAAAAGAACTAGTTTCGTTTGGCTTTCAATTTGATTGCATTACACACGTACATATATATATATATATATATATATATATATATATATATATATATATAGTGAATATTACGCTATAGTACTTATAAACATAAACTAAAACACAAACCACAACCAGTCACTAAAACTCTTATATAATTGCGGTAAAATGTAATTTTTGCGCTGCTTTGCGCAATATTGCTTAACTAAATTTCTGCTTAGATTTACTTGATAATTTTTAATAAGATTTATAAGTTGGCTACTGTATGTCTAGTGTCTGTATAACTATAAAACCTTTCATGTTGACTAACTTGCTGTTGCTATACATAAATAAAAGCGTTTTCATATAAGTCTTTTGAATTTCATATAAGACTTGAATTTCGTATAAGACTTGAATGTAACCCATGCTGGTCTTTATACATATCTATTGCCCGGATAGTTAATTATTGTCATAGTCCTTTTGGTTTTGTTTATCTCCCAATCGAATCCCTGCTATAACCGAGTAATTGTCAAAATTTTCTACAGATAGTAGCAACAGTTTTAATTGAGCTTTCAATATGTTCTAAATCAGGCGTTAGTTTGTCTATCATTACAAGATGGTTACTTTCAACAACAACAAACAATAAATGTTGGAGATTTTCAAGAGACAGTATTTCTATATAATCGTAATCGTATCGTAATTTCTCACAAGTAAATTGACTTTTTCCCCTACATATACTATGCCAGTCAACAATTCGATTTATCAGAATTGGTGAACATATCGTTAAGTATATTCTAGACAGAAAGAAATGAAGAGAGAGAAGAGAGAATTGAAACGATCGAGTGAGAGGTAGGTAGATTGGGAGGCAAAAAGAGAGAAAGATAGGAGGCAAAGAGAGAGAGAGAGACAGAGATGATAGTAGTTATCTCACTATATATTTTGTGTATAATATAAATACTTCCTCGGGTTGTTCCTTGAGATCGATGGAAGGGCAAATATGTTTTGTGGCAACGTTTATATACTGCTTGTCATTCTGTCCGTAGTACTCATAAATGTCTGTATATATACACCTGAACATAGGAATTCCCATGAAAGTAGTTCTGTGAGGATATTTCCTCAGACGATGGATTATTGGAATTGTTCCATGGTAAGTAACAACAAGAGGTACAATAAATGCCATCCAAACACAACGGAAGTGTTTCATTTACTAAATTCGCAAATCTAAAGGGCCGATAAAATTCAGATCGCAGAAGCATCGAGTCGATGGTAAAAAAATCGCATACTCTCTACATTTCCACTTCGAATCTAAATATTTATTAAATGAAATTGCGAT